CCCTTCACTTTCAGTCTGTGTGAGTCCCTTCTAATGAAGTGGGTCTCTTGTAGACAGCAAATGTATGGGTCATGTTTCTTTATCCATTCAGCCACTCGATGTCTTTTGGTTGGAGCATTTATTCCATTTATATTTAAAGTTATTATTGAAAGGTACTTGTTTGTAGCCATTTCTTTTTTTGTGTGGCTGCTTTCTTTCTGAGCTTTTTATTTATTCTTTTTACACCAGTACCTTTAGCATTTCTTGCATTTCTGGCTTGGTGGTGATAAACTCCCTTAGCCTTTTTTTTGTCTGTGAAGCTTCTTATTTCCCCTTCAATTTTGAATGACAGCCTTGCTGGATAGAGTATTCTTGGATTCAGTCCTTTGGTTTGCATTACTTTGTAAATTTCCGTCCATTCTTTTCTGGCCTGATGTGTTTCTGTTGAGAAGTCATTTGATAATCTAATGGTAGATCCCTTGTATGTAACTTTCTGTCTCTTTATTGAAGCCTGTAAGATTCTCTCTTTGTCCTGAACATTTGCCATGGTAATTATGATGTGTCTTGGTGTGGGTTCACCTTGTTTGGGACTCTCTGTGCTTGTGTGACTTTTTTTCTTCCCCACCTCAGGGAAGTTTTCTGATATTATTTCTTCGAATAGGTTTTCTAATCCTTGTTCCTCTTTGTGTTGTTCTGGCACCACTATTATTCATATGTTGTTTCATTTCATGTTTTCCCATAGCTCCCTTAGGCTCTCCTCCTGTCTTTTAATTTTTTTCTCCAATTGCAGTACAGTTTGGGTGTGTTTTGCTTCCTTGTCTTCTAATTCACTAATTCGGTCCTCCGTTTCTCTTAGTCTACTGTTGATGCTTTCAATGGTGTTTTTTATTGCAGCTATATCGCTCTTCATTTCTTCTTGGGTCTTACATAAGTTATTGATTTTTTTTCATCTGTTTCTTCTTGCTTCTTGCATAAGTTGTTGAATTTTCCCTCCATCCGGTTTATGCACTCTAGGACCCTTATTCTGAATTCTTTTTCTGTCATGTTGCATGCCTCTGTATCCCTTTGCTGCTTTTCTGGCGAGTCCTCCTTTTCTTTCCTTTGCGGGTTTCTTTGCCTACCCATGTTTGATCTCACTGACATATCTAGATGTTGAGTCATTCAGCTGCTGCTCCCTGGGTGGCAGTAGCTCCTTGGGCTGTGGTTGCTCCTCGGGTGGTTGCGGTAGCAGCTGCTCCTCAGTTGGCAGCAGCTCTTCTGGTGGGTGCTGTTCACAGCTGTGGTGGCTCTTCTGGTTGGTGGGGGGCGGCTTCACATACAGCTGCTGGTCCTCAGACAGAGGGTGTGGTGATCAGGAGGCTGCTGTTGCTTGAATCTGCTGCGTTGATTTAAAGGCACAAAATACAACACAACAAGGCACAACATACCAGGCACTGAACACAAATATATTCATGATATTAATAACCCCAAATAAAGGTGACCACCCGAATTAAGAGAATTAGGGGATAAGGAAGAAAGAAGAGAAAAAAAGAAAAGAGAAACAAGAAAAGAAAAGAAAATTAAGAACAAAAAGGAGTGCAAAAATAAAATTGGGAAAAGGAGGGGAAAAAAAAGAAGAAAAAAGAGCAAAAAGAGAGAATGAAGTAGAAGAGGGAAAGAGACTATTTATATGAGGAGAAAACTCCAATAGAACTGCCACTAATCCCAACAAATTCCATCAACAGATCCCTGGAGATGAATGCAAACTACAAACAACCAATAATATCAAGAGAGGCAAGGGAAAGCAGAAGCACAAAAATAACCGGGGGGGGGGGGGAGAGAAAAACAAGCAGAAAAAAGTAAAAAGAAAAAAGCAAAACAACCTCACAACCAGTCCTAAAAAAAACACAAAACAAAACAAAACAAAAACCCCCCAATATACTCAACAATCAAGCAAACAGCAAGAAAACAATAAAAAGATAAAAGAAGAGAGAAAAAAATTTTTGGATAGTGAAGAAAGGTAAGGGATAGGTGTATAAGGATTTAGAGCAGTGGATTGGAAATAGGATATATAAGTAGGGTGAAATTTTTACAGGGGGTAAAAAGAAGGAATAGGGAAAATCTAAAGCAGGAATAGGGTAAGAGAAACAGGACAACAGAAAGGGAAACATGAGGAAGAGGTTTTTAGCATAGAGGTAAAGTTGAGGTAGGGAAAATTGATGCTAAAGGAATGATGAAAATAGAACGGAGAATACTAATCCCAAAATAAAATAAAGAGAAAATAAAATGGCACTTTAAAAAATGGTAAAATGATAGCAGTAATAATACTGGTTAAAAATAAAAATGTAGTAATTAAAAGGGTAAAATCAGATGATGTAAAAAGAAGAAAAAAAAATTGGTTTCTTAGTTAAAAGGTGAAAAAAGAAAAAAAAATTGGCAGTAGTGAAGGTCCTTCGGTTCTTCTACTCTTCAGTCTGGCTTGCCTTAGTCCTGCCAGGTATTCAGGAGAGTGTTGAATTTCCCTGCGATACACTGGTCCTCCGTGTTGTAAACCACAGTCCTGATTTTAAAGCAGGCCGTATTTGTTTCCCAGACTGTCTTAATTTGTGTTTACCTAAGAGTCAGTTTGTGGCTCAGCATCTGGGTGGCAGTGTTTTGGGGTTGGCCTCTGAGGCTATACGGCTTCTCTATCCAGTAGCAAGGGTTTATTTTCTCTATTGCACTTAAAACTGGTTTGGGGAGGTCAACTGCCCAGAGCTGGTTCTTTAATCGTTACCCTGCTCTGTGTTGTTGCTGGGACTCTGTTTTGAATTCTGTATCTAGTAGTTTGCTTGCTTCCATTTCATTTAGTTCTTTTTCTGGAAATTCCTTCTGTTCTTTCATTTGTGACATGTTTCTTTGTCTCTGCATTCTGGCTACTTCCCTGTGTTTTTTTCTACATATTAGGTAGAGCTGCTATATCTCCTGGAATTAGTAGAGTGGCCTTGTGTAGTAGATGTCCTGTAGGACCCAGTGGCCCAGTCTCCCTAGTCCCCGAACTGGGCACTCTAGGTGTGCCCCTGTGTGCACTGTCCTGTTGTAGTTGAGCCTCGATTGCTGTTGGTATCACTGGGAGGAAATCACCCCTCAGGCCAATTGGCTGTGAGGACCTGCTGCAACTCAGCAGAAGAGCTGCTGTGCAGGAGACACCCCTATGGAGCAGAATTTGATTTAGTGGGGCTTTGGTGCTTAGTCTACCCCTTGAGTGTGTTACTTGTGGATGTATAGAGTTGTAATCTGCTATGATCTGAAGCTGTCCACTAGGTACACTGGCTCTGGGGCCTCCTGGGAGGTGCAAAGTCAGCCACTGCCTGTGCCCTGCCTGGGGTCACCTAGCACAAGCTACAGAGCAATCTGCAATGGCTGCTACTTGTGTTGGGCTAGGACAGGGGTCCCCAAACTACGGCCCGCGGGCCACATGCAAATACAAATATTGTATTTGTTCCCATTTTGTTTTTTTACTTCAAAATAAGATATGTGCAGTGTGCATAGGAATTTGTTCATAGTTTTTTTTTTTTAACTATAGTCTGGCCCTCCAACGGTCTGAGGGACAGTGAACTGGCCCCCTGTTTAAAAAGTTTGAGGACCCCTGGGCTAGGAGGTGCCCAGGAGAGGCAAGCTGTGAACCTTGGCAAGCTGCTGTTAGTGCTAGGACTGTGGACACGTATAGAGACGTATGGGGTACACTGAGTCCAGCTGCAGCTTGTTTGAGAGATTTTAGAAAAATCTGAAGCCTGAGCCAGAACAGGCAATTCACATGGAAAAGATACTGCAAACAGCTTAGGGGGGCTGCAAATTGGGTGGGGTGGGATCTCAGGGAATCACCAGGGCTGGGCCAAGTGTGGACCAGGTTGATGGAGACTCAGATATAGTGTCTGCTAATCAGCTCTGTGTGTGTGGGAGGTCCCAGTACTTTCATCTGGGAGAAAGCTGCCACCAAGCTCTTGCCCTGACATGTTTCTTTGTCTCTGCATTCTGGCTGATGCCAGACAATTTAGTTTCTCCTGGTATCCTTTCAAGCTGTTGCCCCAGAGCTGGAGCTCAGAGCGAATGAGTCTGTATAAGTCTGTGCATGGGCCCTTTAAGAGGAACTGCCTGGGACTCTAGCAGCCTCATGTCACTCAGCCACCTCCCCCACTGGTTTTTACAGCCTGAAGTTACAGGGACTTCTCTTCCTGATTGGGGGGTGAAGGGGGGGGGGGGGACCTATAATCTGAGAGAGCACCTGAATTAATCTGAACAAGAATCAAATTATTTTAAATCTTAGAACACGTATACTTATGTGAATAGGGGGTTAAGTTTTTCTTAAGTTTCCTTTCCAAGGCTTGTGCAAAGCAATTGAGGAGGTGACCCAGCTGTGAATCCAGCAAGCAGAACTGATAAGCATGGTCAGGCCAACCCACCAGGAGTTAAAACAGCATCTCATCAACATCATCTCATCGCCTGATGACTCCAATAGCTGACATCTGCGGACCTCCAGGGCTGCATGTAGCACCCTAGCCCCTTTCCCTTTTATAATCCTGTTCCCTACACCTTGCTGGGAAGACAGGATTTGAAGGCTTGTAAACGCCCCGTCTTACCGGTTGGCTACCCTTCTCAATAAACACCTACTATGACTCAACCCTGCCTTCGTTATTGGACACAGCAACAGGCAGCCCGAGCCCAACCGGGGGTTTCCCGGTAACATATTTTGGCGACTCTGCTGGGACCCCCTCCTCTGAGCCCTAAGGTCAGACCCTTCGGGGTTTGCCAAAGGACTCAGGTGGTTGCCTGGACTTGGGAAACTTCTTGCAGGCACCTGTGGAAACTCTTTAGCAGCTGCCGAGTTATTTAACTCTTTGACTTTCCTTAGGTGCTTACAAACTTTCCCAGTCACCTTTGCAGTTGTTGAATCGGCTTTCTGTTTGGGTGCCTATTATCTGTAAGTCTCAAGCACTGTAAGCCGGGAGTGGCATTAAGGTACCTTCTGTTTCTGTTTGTGGGTGTCGAATAACTCAAAAAGCATGGGAAATGCACTGGCAACCCCGCCGGAGTTGGTTGGTCCATTTATACTTTGGCTTCACTCCTAAATATCCTCTAAGCTGGGAACAAGAGGAGATTAGTGTGTGGGAACGCAAGGTGTGAAGTTCTTGTCTGAGGGTTGTACACGCCTGTCAATGTCATATATGAGTGTCTATTGATTCTTGTTTTGTGTGTCTCTGTTGTTTGGTTTCTAATGAAAGTTCTTGTCTGTCTGTATATAATGTAACTTGGTTACTGATGTTCTTTGCTTGCTTTCTTATTTTGGGGGGACTTAGTTTGCTTTCTGGTTTCTACTGAGAAAGAAAAACATGGGAAAGAATCGTTTAAACTCCCCAAGTATTTATCCTAGAGGGCCGGAGCTGCAGAAGTACCCTTGAATAGGCTGCAGAAGCGGCAACAGAGGGGTGAGGGGTGGGCACTCTTCTTGTAAAGAAAAAAAATGGTGCTTTTATACTGAAGTGATTGGAGGCCCAGGCATTGCTGCAGTAGAAAGCAAAGGTTCTCTGGATTTATAGAAATACTGGCAAGAAAAATCAGGAGAGACAGAATTTGATTATAGGACTGAGTGAGCTAAAAATAATTGTATGGTTTTTGTAACTGTTACTGAAAATATTGATTTTTAACCTTCTTGTTTTCCAGACATAAAGAAACTTGTTTCTTTTCTTAAAGCAATTTGGTAAATTATACTTTGATAAGCAATATTTCTCCATACCTGACACCTCCAAAATTTAGAAACTTTTAGTGAGTAGTAGTATTATTCTCATGGCAATGTGTTTGTTTGCATGAATCCAATAAGAATCTCATTTCTTCATAACAGGACGTAAGTCAGTTTCCAGTTGTGGTTTTATTAACCAAAGCTTTACTGGAATGTCATGTCTGAGAGAGAGACATGCCAGGACTCTGGATGTCACCAGAAAGCTCTCAGGAATGAAGATTGACTTTGAAGCCAATAAACCTCTTGGATAAAGAGCCTGGCACCTTACTTGGTCACATGGTTCATGGTGGCTTTTCCAGGTAAGGAAGGAAGGTTACTTTCCTGAGAGATGGCATGAAATGAACCTCAAGACACTTGTGGGGACTGCAACTTGAGGAATGCACCCCAGTTCTGTAGGTATTGTAGGCAAAGCCTGAATGGCAACTGTGTGGCGTGGCTTCTTTGCCCTGGGAAGAAACTTTCTCACGAGATTCCAGCAAAGCATATTTTTAAAAAAATAGCCTAAGTGATCAATTATTATTCTTGTTGTGTTTATGCAAACCATCAGGCCAAATTGTAATGACTTAATACAGTAAATAAATTGGTCTTAATTTGGCTCTTTGATGAAAATGAGGGTGATTTTGGGGAGAAAAATTGTGTTTCAACAGGATTTTTTTTTTTTAGTCCTCACCCAAGGGTATTTTTTCCATTGACTTTTAGAGAGAGTGGAAGAGAGAGGGAACGACAGAGAGAAATATCGCTGTAAGAGTAACACAATTGGTTGCCTCCTGCACACGCCCTAACCAGGGCCCGGGCTGGGGAGAAGTCTGCAACCGGCTAGGGCTGGCAGGGTTTTTTGAGAGGGTCTGCAGCACAACTTTACAGCTGGTCCTAAGGGAGTCTCCCTTGTCCCTTCCACCCCCACACACGGCCGTAAGTTTAAGCTGAGAAGCACCGAAGCAACAGGGTAATGACAAGGGGCTTTGGGAGTCCTGGTTATCCAGTCTTTTTTCTACTCATGTCCAGCCCCACATGTACTAACCACTGTCTTTTGATGGATCACTTTTGGCCCTTAAAATCTGATGGATCTGACAGAACTCAGCACATAATGGGAAGGTCTGGCTGCGTGGTCACTAATGTCCTACTGGCAGGTGCTTTATCTCCACCAGAACCGTGTAGCAAGCCAGGGGCTATTTATTGAATGGTGTACACTTTTCTGATGCAGATGGCATAGCTTTGCTCCAGAGCTTAGGAGTCTATGTTGGGGCTCCTATAAACTCCACATGGTGCCTTTTCCTACCACTGATAACCATTAGAACTGTGGGTTCCGCTGCTTGAACCACAGCCTGGACCTGATTAAGAGTCTCTCCTGCCCCAGGAACCACTCAAACCTGACAGCACTCCATGTAGATAGGTTAGCACAGTATTCTGTTAAGTATTCTGTTGAATAGTTTTAGTTTTATGTATTCTAGACTTGGAAAGTAAAAATAAAGTAGGATTTTATTATTATTATACTTTTTGAATGTCTTATAAAAAGTGGGGCATTTGTAACAATGTTATGGAGGAAATCTCTCTTTAACTCACAGTGCATTTTGCAACTGTAAGAGCAAAGGTAAGGAATTCCAGTGAACTGATCTTTTAGGGTGCTCTTCTATGATAGGTTTCTTAAAAAACATTCAAGAAATGTTTTACTTTCTTACCATCTTGAAACAAACCAGCCCTAGCTGGTTTGGCTCAGTGGATAGAGCATTGGCCTGTGGACTGAACGGCCCCTCGGGTTCGATTCCGGACCAGGGCACATGCTCAGGTTGTGGGCTCCATCCCATGGGGGGGGGGGCGTGCAGGAGGCAGCTGATTAATGATTCTTTCTCATCATTTATGTTTCTATCTCTCTCTCCCCCTTCCTCTCTGAAATCAATAAAAATATATTTAAAAATATTAAAACAAAAACAAAAAAAACCCCCAAACCAACCAACCAAACCTTCATTTCAGCTTTTCCCATCCACCATCTATGGTGTAACCACTGCCAAGAGGCAGATTTTTGTGAAAACCCTTACAGGGAAGATCATCACTCTTAACGCTGAACCCTCGGATACAACAGAAAATGTTAAGGCCAATATCCAGGATAAGGAAGGAATTCCTCCTGATCAGCAAAGACTGCTCTTTGCTGGCAAGCAACTGGGAGATGGATGTACTTTGTCTGACTAGATACAGGGGTGGGCAAACTTTTTGACTCGAGGGCCACAATGGGTTCTTAAACTGGACCGGAGGGCCGGAACAAAAGCATGGATGGAGTGTTTGTGTGAACTAATATAAATTCAAAGTAAACATCATTACATAAAAGGGTACGGTCTTTTTTTTTTTAGTTTTATTCATTTCAAACGGGCCAGATCTGGCCCGCGGGCCGTAGTTTGCCCACGGCTGGTAGAACATTCAAAAGGAGTGCACTCTTCACCTTGTGTTGAGACTTCGTGGTGGTGCTAAGAAAAGGAAGAGAAGTCTCGCATCGCTGCCAAGAATAAGCCCCGGAGAAAACGTTAGCTGCAGTCCTGAAATACCGCAGCGCACGAGAAGGGCAAAGTTGCTCGACTTCGTCTGGAGTGCCCCTTAGAAGAATGTGGTGCTGGAGATTTCATGGCCAGCTACTTTGACGAGTATTATTGTGACAAATATCTGACCGATTGCCTCAACAGAATAGAAGACAATTAATTGTATATGGGTTGATAAAAGACATAGACTAACATTAAAAAAAACCACACCTTAAGCATTTCAAATGATAAAGTCACAAAAGCATTTTCAAAGTCCAATTTGTATATATATTTAGCGCCTACTATATCTTCTGTCCTTGTTAAATATTCTTTTTTTAAATTATATTTTATTGATTTTTTCAGAGAGGAAGGGAGAGGGATAGAGAGTTAGAAACATCGATGAGAGAGAAACATCGATCAGCTGCCTCCTGCACATCTCCTACTGGGGATGTGCCCACAACCCAGGTACATGCCCTTGACCGGAATCGAACCTGGGACCTTTCAGTTCGCAGGCCGACGCTCTATCCACTGAGCCAAACCGGTTTCGGCAATATTCTTATTAGCATTTAGCAGTTAGCATTTTAATGCTTCTCACAAGTGGAATTTTCAATTAGGTCTAGTTCTGAAGGAAATATTAAGTCGAATATGTGGAGCTATGATTGATAACCAGTCTGAGCAGTAATGAAGCTATCTTTATATGTCAACAGTTTTTCTTCAATTGGAAATGTTAGCTATCTTAAACTGGACTCAGCAACAGCCCAGATGCAGGTGTCTGTTAGGGCATACGGCATGTTCTGAGTCACTCTAAGACAGCAGACAACTAATCTCATTTAATTCCTGAAACTTGTCTCTCTTCAGCAGTTCCTTAATAGGAATTGCTGCATGATCAACTCTTCTTTATTAGAACAGTTTTAAAGACCCTCAATCAGGCGCGGTTGTCGTTTTCAATCAGGAGGGAGTCTCAGACTCTGAGCCCCAGATCCGGGCGAGTCTCTAGGGACTCAGACTCAAACGGGAGAGGCGGGATTGTCTGGCATTGTTCGGAACGTGAGGGCAGCTTTCTCTCCGAGGTTTGCAGCGGTTGCTGGGGTTCTGAGAAGCAGAGCCTCTGGGAACGGGACTGAGAGCAGCCATATCTGCTCCCTCCACCCGCCCTGTTGACCCCGTGTGACCCGCCCCGCCCAAGCCCTGCGCAGAGCCATATGCCGGATAGCCTCAGGCAAAGGCTAGATTAGCACCTCTCCAGAGGACAGAAGTTTTCCCACGGCAGACACAGGTGATTCTCACAGCCAGTCGGCCTGGTGGTCAAATCCCTCTAGTATTAACTATAACAATCAAGGCTTAACTACAACAAGACTGCGCACAAAGACCACAAGGGGGTGCACCAAGAAAGCATAAAAAATGCGGAGACAAAAAAACATGACAGAAATGGAGGATATAGAGCTAAAAAAACGCAATTTTGAGGGCTTGCAATAATGTGCTACAAGCTGCCAATAAACTTGATGAGAGCCTCATGAAATCTAATGAGACCCTCGATGCTGTGATAAAGAACCAACTAGAAATTAAGCATACACGGACTGAAATAAAGAATATTATACAGACACCCAACAGCAGACCAGAGGAGCGCAAGAATCAAGTCAAAGATTTGAAATGCGAAGAAGCAAAAAACACCCAACTGGAAAAGCAAAATGAAAAAAGAATCCGAAAATACGAAGATAGTGTAAGGAGCCTCTGGGACAGCTTCAAGCGTACAAACATCAGAATTATAGGGGTGCCAGAAGATGAGAGACAGCAAGATATTGAAAACCTATTTGAAGAAATAATGGCAGAAAACTTCCCCCACCTGGTGAAAGAAATGGACTTACAGGTCCAAGAAGCGCAGAGAACCCCAAACAAAAGGAATCCAAAGAGGACCACACCAAGACACATCATAATTAAAATGCCAAGGGCAAAAGACAAAGAGAGAATCTTAAAAGCAGCAAGAGAAAGAGACTCAATTACCTACAAGGGAATACCCATACGACTGTCAGCTGATTTCTCAACAGAAACTTTGCAGGCCAGAAGGGAGTGGCAAGAAATATTCAAAGTGAAGAACAGCAAGAACCTACAACCAAGATTACTTTATCCAGCAAAGCTATCATTCAGAATTGAAGGTCAGATAAAGAGCTTCACAGATAAGGAAAAGCTAAAGGAGTTCATCACCACCAAACCAGTATTATACGAAATGCTGAAAGGTATCCTTTAAGAAGAGGAAGAAGAAAAAGGTAAAGATACAAATTATGAACAACAAACATGCATCTATCAACAAGTGAATCTAAGAATCAAGTGAATAAATAATCTGATGTACAGAATGAACTGGTGATTATAATGAATCAGGGACATAGAAAGGGAATGGACTGACTATTCTTGGGGGGAAAGGGGGAGTGGGAGATGCGGGAAGAAACTGGACAAAAATCGTGCACCTATGGATGAGGACAGTGGGTGGGGAATGAGGGCGGAGGGTGGGGCGGGAACTGGGAGGAGGGGAGTTATGGGGGGAAAAAAGGAGGAACAAATGTAATCTGAACAATAAAGATTTAATTAAAAAAAATGCTACAGCAGTGGGATAAAGGTGTGTGTATGGACAATGTAAAAGAAACAAGATATCAAAGGCTGAGGATTGTGGAAGTGATGATTTATTAGATAATTCTCTGTACTTTGTGTATGTTTGAAAAGACCATAATAAAAAACTTAAATGACAAAGATAAATAAATAAATAAAGACCCTCAATCAGAGATATGGCTGGCTGAATGTTAAAAAGTAATTAATTTGAGAACTATAAAGATTTGGCTAAATTAGAAAAATAACTATTTTGAAGCTAAAATAATCCTTCAATATATGAAATTTACTTCTTTTCTTTTCCTTATATATGTTTTCTTATTTTTAAAAGCAGATAGGAAAAATGCAAAGTGTTAAAAGTAATGTTACTACCTATCTCCTTTCGGAACTCTGAGGACATGCACATGTTTGGATATGTACACATGATTTACCATGAACAGTGTGGCCTGGTAGCTAGGTGAGGATCCTGGTGGGAAGCATGGCACACTCAGGAGAAGTATGCTTGCAGGGAGTTTCGTAATGGTTTGGGAAGCTTGGAGTGGTGACGCACCCTGGAGCTGGCAACTATGTGAAGCTGTTACCACCTCTAGGCCTGAAGGGACAAAGAGGGAGTAGTACCTGGGACCTGGGAAAAAGCTGTGACCTTGAGAAAGAAGCCAGGCCCCAAATGTGGCCCAGGAGAGAAGGAAAATAACTATCCTGACCTTTCTCTTCTCCCTTCATCTGATCTCCTCGTGGTGCCTTCCAATGACAAACCCAATTAGAAGCCATTGGGAAGGGTCCTGGATGATGCAGTCCATGAGGTTAGGCTCCCAGGGCACACAGCAAAGTGGAAAAGGGCAGTGAGTGGGGAGGGGAAGTAGGAAAAGAGAATGTCCAGTTCACATGAAGAGCTTTCGATGACAATGAATATACATATGGGTAGTCCTGGTTTTGCATGGTTCTGAAAAGTGTAACTTTCAGTTTCACAGTTTTGTTAAATTACACCATTCCCCTAACAAATTGGTATAGTAATGGAATAATTGTACAAACTTCACTGCTAGCTCTTCAGTCCAGATGTTCATAATGATCAGTGACCAATCATGTCACTTCTTCCCAAGTCTGTCAGTGATTGGTCACTGTTAGTGATTGGTCACTGCACATATTATTTAGTTCATAGACAGCAAAGTGTGTAGTTGTGTTGCCTCCTTGTCTTCCATTGAGGAACCCATCTGTTACAAAAACAGATAATTGAAAGAATTGGCCTACACATTGAAGTGCAGTAAAGAAACAAAAAGTGGTAACTCCATAAATGACGTTTCAATCAAATGTAAATAGTTATAGAATAACTGGCTGTGGGAGTGTGCATATTGCCAATGTTTGAGAAACTCCAGATGTGCAGCCAGAGGAACTTAGTAAAGATGAGCTTATTGACATAAACAAGTAAGTGGTTTTGATGGAAAGGATAAAGATATTTCAGAGGAAGTGATAAGAGCAAAAAACTTAACATTAAGGAACGCTTGGAGATATTTCATGGTATTTCAGGTAAGAAGGATAAAGTGTTAGAAGCTGTTATGAATGAACTTGGGAAGAGTATGAAAATTCACCAAAGAATAGGAGAGATGTCACTCCATACTGAAAGTTATGAGACAAGAAGGGAAGCAAAGCACTGTTTACATTTCTCTTGGCAAGACTTTTTTTGTTTTGTTACAAAGCAATAAGGCACTTTAATTCACAGTGCTTCTGTTTTAAATTATAATGTACTAAATAATTATGTTTTATTTCTTAATTCCTTATAAACTTATAACCAATAGAGAATTTTTAATGTCTGACAAATTTTAAAGATCACAGAACAATATTTTTCACCTTTAACTATTTTTTAAAACAAATTCACATTTTATTTATGTCAAAATAAACTGTACAAAATTGACTTTCTTTACCAAAAATAACAGCAATATTTTCTGTATTATTCCTAGATAAATCACAAAACACATTTTTGTAGGTTTTCTAGGTTTTGCTTATAAATCAAGACACGTCAGTAGATATAGTCATGAAAAAAGACAGAATAAAACAGACCAATCTATTGTCAGTATCCATGGCCTCTGATCCTGTCTTGACCATGAAACAGAAATGTTCGACATCTACTTGCTAAAAAGCTTATGAAGCCCTGACTGGTTTGGCTCAGTGGCTAGAGCGTCGGCCTGTGGACTGAAGGATCCCAGGTTCGATTCCAGTCAAGGGCATGTACCTTGGTTGTGGGCACATCCTGAGTAGGGGGTGTGCAGGAGGCAGCTGATCTATGTTTCTCATCGATGTTTCTAACTCTCTCTATCCCTCTCCCTTTTTCTCTGTAAAAAATCAATAAAATATATTTTTTAAAAAAGGCTAAGCCACAAAGCTTAAAAAAAAAAAAGCTTATGAAGCCCTAGCTGTTTTGGCTCAGTGGATAGAGCGTCTGCCTGTGGACTGAAGGGTCCCGGGTTTGATTCCAGTCAAGGGCACATGCCCGGGTTGCGGCCCGATCCCCAGTAGGGGGCGTGCAGGAGGCAGCCGATCAATGATTCTCTCTCATCATTGATGTTTCTATCTCTCTCTTCCTCCCTGAAATATATATTTAAAAAATAA